TCAAGATGTGTTTGTGACAGAGAATATGCATTCTGATTGACTGGTTTTACATTCCCTGTGTCAATCTCATGTACAAATTCTTGTTTCAGCAGTAATTTCAGTGAAAGATCTGTTCAGAAGACCTTTTCATACATCTTCAGAAGCTTCTTCATACACTTGTTCTTCTGTATATTCTTTATCTTGGTTTTCTTCACTTCTGAGTTCTGTATAATATACAGAATGCTTTCAGATGAGGTCTTGTGAATCATTCTCTTTACTTATTAATGTATAAGCAGATTTAATTCTTCTATATTAGAGATGTGAAATGTTCTTCTCATATTAGTTGATAGAATTGTATAAATCATTTTCTTTCTATCAGTCAACTGCATATGACATGTCTGTCATTGAATCTGTGAATTGAACCTTTGAAATCAATTGAGTCTGAGAATAAGGTTGTATTTCACATTCTGCAGCTCTCACACTCAAATATAGCAAGATCATTCTCTGAAGTACAAGAGAACTCTTACTCTTGCAGATAATATCAAATATCAGTTATCAGATAATCTTATATGTCAGAGATTCTTCACTTAGCAGACCTCTTTCAATCTTCAGATTATATAATCATTAATATATTATGTAGAAGCTTCTGTGTCTGCTAACACTTTTACAGTCATCTCTTGATTCTTATTCAAGTACTCTCTATACATTAACATTTCAGGTCTCAAGACATTGAGATGAGTGTTCACTTCATCATTCTCACTCACATCTCATTCAGAAGCCTGCTTCTTCTTTGTATTCACAGAATTCAGAGAATCATCTAACACAGACATCTCTTTCACTTTGAAGACTTTTCATAGAATATCAGTGAGTGTCTCTGAGCTCACTGATTCTGCTAGTTTTTTAACTCTCTTACTTCTCTTGACTGTGCATGCTGAGTGTAATCTTTTATATCATGATTTTGATATCTGCAGTTAAAGCAAGCTCAATGCTTACAATATCAAGATTTTCACTCAGAGAATCTCTTTTTCAGAGAATTCAGTGCTTTAGTGATGACATTCAGATCTAGATTCATTGTATTCAGATATGTGACTTGTATCATAGAAGTCTGATTATCTGTTCTTCACTGAGATATACTTGATTGCAGTATTTTCTGTTGCAATTGACTTACTTATTTCTGTATGATAAGAATGTTGTATACTTCTTTCACTGTGTCTGACTGTGAGGTTAAGCATTTTCATTTCACTCTCAACTTGAGTGTAAGATCATGAATGAAGATCTGTAAACAGAAAGATATTGAAAGCTCTTCATTCAATATGAGATAGTGTAAGCTGAAGTGTGTGAAGTATAATATAAGATTACTCACTTATCTACACTCAGTGAAGTGTTTATAATACTTATCTCATGCATTCACTTTCTCAAAGTTATACAAGATTCACTTGAAAAACTCATTTCATATTCATGAGAATGAATATCACTTCAGATCTGCAAGGTTCATCTTTTCATCAGTTATTTATAATGACTTCACTTTTTCACATAGAAACACAGCAGATCTTAAGAGTTGTTGAAATTCTGTTAACTGTCTGTCTGTGAGTTCATGTTCAATCTGATAATATGATTATATCTGACTTAGTCAGCTGATTGCAGCATCATTTTTTCAGTTGTTATTAAAGCTTAATAACTTCAGCAGATCTTCTGACTTGATATATTTCATACTTGAATTCTCATTCTATGCAGCAGTCTTTGATGATGTGTACACTTCTGAAGAGATTGTGAATAATTATGATGAGATCTTCAGGTTCAGTGTAGTTACCTGTCTGTGTAAATATTCAATCTTCTGCTGCAGGCCTAAGATCTGGTTTTCTCTATTCTTATTAATGATGACAATTGTGTTGATGAAGCTCTTTATAGTGAATGCTTGATTCACAGTGAATATCAATTATTATTTAACTTCTGTCTCAGCCTGTTACTGTGTACACAAGGCCTTGATCTTGTTTAGAATTCTTATATATGTACAGAGCTTCAATTTCAGTTTGACAGTTTTAACTGCTTTTCTTACTGCTTCAAGTAAACTCTCTGAGAGATTCTGCATATCTTTCAGTTCAGATAGCAGAGAAGAGTGTTGTTTATATTGATTAGAGAAGATATTCATTTCAGTGATTGATTTCTGATTGATTGTATGATGTCTATTATTATATCATTATATCATTATATGATTTCTGTTATCATTGTATAACTTCAGTGATGATCATCCTCTCTTTTATTTCTTTAAGTGAAGAGTGATCTTCTTTGAATCTGGTTCACTGCTCTCATTTCTTTTCTCACATCTCATCTGTTCACATACATGGCATTTGCCTGAGTGTGGAGTTTTCCCTCAATAAGTAAAGCAGTATCAATTAGATGCTCTTCTGCTCACTGCTCTTTATATGCTATCTTTTTGAGATGTTCTAGGACCACACTGGCATGATAACTATGAATTGCTTTGTAGATGGAATTATCATGTTCTGAAGAAGTCTGTGCTTCTCACCAGTTTTTAGACATGCTATCAGATGTGATTCAAAGGTTGCTTAAGCCAGTGTACAATTACAGGCGTACGCTGGCTTCTTATATATTGTAATATCATACACTAATTATGATTAGCGGCCGCTATGGCCCCTTTACACTCGTACGCGTACGCTAGTAGTTCAGAAGCGGCCGCGTTATTATCCGACGGTCGTACGTTCTTCCGAACCACAGATTCAGATACTGCTTCTGTTCACAATATTATAAAGCAAGTATTTTACATTCAAGAAAAGGTCTATGTGAGTGACTAGACAGGAAAAGATACCTGGATTCTAGACTCTGAATCAGGCACTCATGTCACATCTCACAGAGATCTTGTCATGACAAAACCTCAGAAGATGAAAGTAATGTTGAAAATAACATATTAAATAGTAGTTCTCACTACAGCTATAGAAGATATGAAGATTTCAGTGAAAGAAATAGATATACTGTTAAATAATGTCTGCTATATTCTGAAGTTAGAAGTGAATCTCATGAGTATGAATAAGCTTATATATCAGAGTTATACCTATAAGCAGTTAATATATGAGAATAATTATACTATGTTGATTATATCTTCTGACTGCATATTCTCATTTACAGCAAGATTAAATGAGAATGATATCTATGAGATCAAAGACTGATTACATACAGAGACTTGATCTGATTTACTATGCTTAATAATGATTTTGAACCTGTGAACATATTATAGATGAAAGATGATACAATATTGACACTATCTGACAGAAATGATACAAAGATTATAGAACTTATGATAATGTAATGACATTAAAAGCTAGAACATCTGAATTCTATAGATATTGCAAAAATGACAGCAGATTCATAACTAGAAATGAGAATAAAGAGTGACAGAGCTTTGTCATTCTACAAGACCTGTGTACAGGCAAAAATGACATATTCAACATTTGTATCAATGATGAGAACTATCAAATCTGTGATAAGATTCTTCATAAACCTTGCAGATGATGACTGTATACTATATAATGAAGTCAACCTCTCTACTCAGAGAGAAGTTAATTATTAAATGAGTATTACAGATAATGCTATATACTACAGGTAAATTATTCTTATAATATTAAAGAGTGAGATCACTGTGCATTTAATAATCTTTATTGATGAAATTGAAGTCACTACTTAACATCAAATTGAAACCCTATACTGAGATGATGAAGAAGAGTTTAAAAGTTAAGAACTTAAGATCTACTGTCAGAGCAAAGAAATAGCATATGAAATAACTACATCTGATACATCACAATTAAATGACTCAGTGAAACATGTGAATTAAATAGTTGCAGAGAAGATAAGAAGCTTGCTATTTAATAGTAAGCTAATGAAAGAGCTTTGAGATGAGGCAATGCAAGTCACAGTCATAATAATTAACACATTCTCAACATTAATAAAGATATTTGAATGTAAAAAAGAAACATCACTTACATCTTTTAAAGCTTGAACTGAGATACAACCTTCTCTTTATTGAATACAGAGATAAGAGTGCAAGATTTATAAGAAGAATTGAAAAGTGTTAAATAAGCTTACAGATAGAACTGACAGTAAGAAATAATAGCTGATTAAATATCAAGAATTATATTAATATTGTGTGTGAGATTCTGTTACACATTGTCTTGAGATTGTATGAGATATTATATTTAATAAAGCTCTTAACATGAGTGTAAATACACCTGTAAATACAGTGAGAAAATTCAATGAATTATCTAACAAATTGATTATTCTGAATGTCAGAGAGAGATAACAGTACTGCTTACTATAACATCTAGTAAAGAAAACGTCAGATGTTTTAAAGATAATTGCTAATAAGAACTTAGAGAGTGTAATTACCAGCATGGCTCAGTTAGTAAGACTGGTAATCAAGACCGCACACATTAGAGATGTGTGAGTTTGAATCCCATCACTGACATCTATCACTTCTTACTCATGAAAGCTCTTATATAATAGAAGCTGAGCCTAATTAGTAAGACTTGATATGAGATAGAACTCTCTACTGCAAGTTAAGTCACTAGTTAAGTGAGATTCTGTGAACACTTATCAGAGCTGATATAAGATATTAATATCTCATTATTCTACTGTGCATTCATCAAGGTTCTAATAATATAGAGTCAAGTCTAATGTAGTGATTATACACTACTTAAACAAGTCTCTAACTAGAGCTGTCATTGAAGCCTAGCTTTCTCTCAAATGTAGAGAATGATTTTAAAAATCATCTGACTAGCAGATTTAGACATGCATCTAGACTCTAGACAGAGTACTCTGATAGACTAGAGTCTGCAAGCTTACTGTCAATCTCTAATACTGACAGAGAGAACTGCAGTTATCAAGTCTATGATTAGTCTCTAACACAGAACAAGGTCACAACAGCTGATTGATAGGCCTATAAGCATCTAATGAGACTGAGATCAGCAACTGAAAGCTTGATGTATGCATTATCAAGTGAGTAGTAGCAGTCACTAACTAACATCTCTGGAAATTAGTGACTGGTCTGAGAGGACAGACACAGTGATCAGTTAATTATAGAGAGTTAAATGTAATTAGCTTAAGATGCATCCTGCGGGTGGCTAGCATCTGTAGTTCAAAAGAGAAGAATATCAAAACTGATAATTCATCTGCATTGAGTTCCCGCTCATATGAATATTCATGACAATGAAGTGACTGATTCAGCTGCAAAAAAGAGTTCAGAATTAAGCAGATCTATTCAAAAAACAGTATCTTGATCTTTTAAAAAGAGAAACATAAAAGAATCTTGTTTAAACAAGTGAAATAAAAGCTGACAGAAACAAAAGAAGAGCATACAACCGCTCCACCACGAACTCGCTCGATTTTTCGAATAAGAACCCGCCGATAGATCCATCGAAAAGCCCTCGATCATACGAGCATTTTGACCCCATCGCCAACCGCATACCCCGTGTGGTGGTGGAGTTATCCAGCCAAATGTGAACCAGACGTCGTTCGGAACTCCTGCGTGGGATTATCCCCCATTCTCCCCTACCACACCACAACCCCGGGCCAAATTGCCATACAAATTGTAAGGTGAAGAGACCTAGCCATATGCACCAATCTTCTTGATTTTGGAAGATCCCTGATCTGTAGTTGTGGAGATATCTGAGGAGCGACCTCCGCGAAAACCCTGTCCATCTTTGATGTTCCAAAACACCAACGCCAAGTCCCACCCTCGTACCGCCCTTCCTAATCTGGCCCATCTCCGGCAGAAAAATACAAAAAGATACCTCAGCGATAATATCAAGCACATAACCAATGGCCACTTCTGAAGAGCAACCTCCGCGGTCTGTCTTCAGTGTATCTAGACATCAACGCTGAGTCTCACCCTCATACCACCTCTCTCAATCTGGCCCATCCCCGACGGAAAAGTACAAAAAGATACCTCAGCGATAATATCAAGTACATAATCAACAACCACTTCTGAAGTGCAACCTCCGCGGTCTGTCTTTAGTGTATCTAGACATCAACACTGAGTCTCACCCTTGTACCACCCCTCTCAATCTGGCCCACCCCCGACAGAAAAGTACAAAAAGATACCTCAGCAACTGTGCTTGATACATAATCAGCAGACACAACAACTATAAAATCAGTATATCTCAAGGTCTGACTGAGCCTTTGATCCCTGTACAGTGAGATATATTAAATCTAGTTTTAATATCTCAATATTCAATAGATTCTGCAAGAGATTGAGAACAGCAACACTAGGTTTCTATTAAATTTGAGAATTAACTCTATATTGATATAATCATTGACAAAGTCTTCTATTTTGAGATATAAATAACCAGTTCCTCTACATCCTGCTGGCAATATTTACATTATTATATAGAAACAGACTTATATTCTCTATAATATCAAGACTCTGAAGAGAGAAAGTCTTGATAGAGGGTATACAGTAGTGCATATCTTAGCAGTTTCTATCTCATTCTTCTGCAGCAGTTAATGCAAAAAAAAAGATCTTAGAAATAGTTTTTTACTTCTCTTGAAAAAGTAAGGTGTTTTTCTCTGAGTTTTACACAATATTCTTACAAAGAATTAAAAACAGAGTTGTTTTCTGTCATAATTTCATATTCTTTTAAATAAGAATTACTTTTTCAGTGACTGAAGAGCTTTTATTAATACTTAATTCTTTTTTACACTCTTTATTATGTGATTCAAAGGTTGCTTAAGCCAGCGTATGATTACAGGCGTACGCCGGCTTCTTATATATTGAATCTCGTATGCTAAATTAATTAGCGGCTGCTATGGCCCCTTTACATTTGTATGTGTATGCTAGTAGTTCGGAAGCGGCCGTGTTATTATCTGACAGTTGTATGTTCTTCTAAACCACATCCTTTCTCACCAGATTCAGTCACGCCCACATGATCATATTGTATGCCCTAGCTTCATGCGGATTAGCTCGCCACTAGCATTTCATAATCATGTGATCTATTCCTGATCTGGCTAGTGTTCTGCATATGCTCTTACAAAGAAACTTTCACTATATTACATCACACATTTACTAACTTTTCTCATTCTTCAATCATCTTCTTCATTATCATCATCATTAAATACTACTATCTCATTCAAGATTTCTATCTCTTCTTCTGTTCAACTCTTTTCATCTGTTCATCTATTACATTATATGCATTTCTGACAATAACTCTCTGTTCTCATAACAAGTGTCATTGTAGTGCTTATACTGAGCAGTTTGTTAGCAGTAAGTGTAATGCATTGTGAAATGTACATGATCAGAACTTGTTTATCTTCTAACAATTGTCAGAATATACTATTATGAATGACATATCTTCTTCATCTTCTTATACACTCTCTTCATCTTCTTGTATGCTCTCAACTGTTTCTCTTCTCAGCAGGTTTCTGATTGTGTTTTCTGGCATGATTTTGCATAAACACAGATGCTGATATGTTTGTTTTTATTTGTATAGAATCTTCACACATTGACAGATTCACATCTGCTGATGATAGTGAACTCAATATTAAATCATTGATTGAGAACCTGAAGAATGTGATAATGAAGAAATTGTCTGTGTTATATGTGACTGAGTCTTCTGCATCTCTCTCTGTCTCTTCTGTTCCTTTCTCTGCCACTTCTTCTCAATCTTCTACATCTGTCTCTGTGTCTGGTTCTCCCACTTCTGCTATCCCTGTTCCCACAACTCTCACTCCTGCTACTCCTGGTTTTACTGTCTCTGCTTTTGTTACCAGCTCTTCTCATTTCAAGAAGATATTGTATAGACTTAATAAATCATGTCTCTCAGTGTATACACTCTCACTCTTCTTATCAACTCTTAGAATGATTTATTGTATAAAGACTGTGTATGACATAACTATCTGAAGCTCAGTTGTGAATACTGATTATTATGTTTATTTTAAATATTTGTGATGAGACAATTATTCATTTATATCAGAGAATCATTTCTCTTCTCAACAGTGTTGAGATTATAAGTCTTTTTCTTTTTCTTTTTTTAATCTGACACTGATTTTTCTATTCTTAGAGGAAATCATTATGAGTTTTACTGTGTATAAAGTCATGACATTCACAGACACTAAGAAACTTTTTATAATTGTAAAGTTCAATATTATAAGAACATTCACTCTGATGAATTTCTTCAGAATAATTGATCTGTATTAGTCTATTCTCTGATATCTGTTATCTGACTTTGTGATGCAGATGAAAGATATCTGTGTTTTTGAGAATGAGAATACAGATGTTGTACTCTTTTACACCTGCAGATGTGAGGCTCATATATCTTGTCTAAGATATTGTTATGAGAATAAGCTATTCACACACTGTGTTCTACTTTCTACATTCTCTCATGTCTCTCTCTCTCTTTCTGAGAAGTCTTGTGTGTGTTGTAATTACACATATAATTCTAAGGCCAGTGAGTGTTTATTTGATAATTGTTATTTCTGTTTTTACAGTTTCATATACTAACAATAGTTCTTAGTTGCTCCAGTGCCAGAGATCATTTTAATCAAAGATGATAACACTGCTGAGACTATTTTCTCTCATTCTTCAGCTTCTTCTATTGCTTCTTCTCCCTCTTCTGTGAGAAAGATCATGCACACACTGAGTTGTAAGTATTCAGCTCTGAGTGACTCTCATTGTTCATCTGATTCTGTATCTTCTTCTTCTTCTATTTCTTTCACCTCTGCTCTTCTTGCTCTGACTTCTAATTCTGTGAGTCTTACACTCTTCTTCAATTTCTCTACATGTACATGTACATATTTCTATATTAGTATTTCAGTCAATCTTGTGATAAATGACATTAATGTTGTATATAGAGTGGTAGAGAAATTGAAGATGTGTATGACATTATTATAAGAGTAGCTTGCAATTCTCAAATCTCTTGCAGATCTCAAGTTTTGAGATTTTCTTTGTTTTTGATGTTTTTCAGATGATGTGATGTTGAAAATAGATTAAATATATGATATATGAAAATGAATGAGATGTGTATGATAATATTTGTCTTTTTATAACTGACTCTTACAGTTGATAATCAATTCATTATTTCTTTTCTTTTCTTATACTTTTTTCTTTATCTGCTAGTCACTACTCTTACACAATCTCTATATAATACAGTGTTCAGTGACTAGATTTAACAGCTTTCATCTTTGTGATTCTGTCTCATGCATTATACTGTCTCTCTTCACCTGCTCAGATTACTACAGTGAATGACTCATTGAAACTAATCTCATCTGATCTCTGAGCATTCTCAGAGGTTGTGATGACTTGATCTCATGTGTCTGTGAATGTTTCAGATAGTTTATCCTCTATGATCTCTGTAATTGAACTGATATAAACAGTTGAATTCAACTCTGAATTTCTTTTTCTTCTATAATCTGATTCATGTGTAAGTCTGTTACTTTGAGACTGCTCTTTACTGTGTTGCATCTGCTATCTGCAGCATATTATCATATAATCAGCTACAGTCTCATCACTTATTAAAGTGTGATATTCATCTGATTTCTTCATTTCTTCTCATTCTTTTCTTATAATTATGAAAAGATTGAAATAAGTGCAATTATCTGATTTATAAGTGTCTATGATTTCTCTTACTTTGTGAGATTTTTCAATTATAAGTCTCTTCTTTTTCAATACTGATAATAGTGCTGTGAATAATTATAATCTACTCAGATCTTACATCTTTGCTTTTATAAGTTATGAATTATTGATTAAGTTGTGTAAGATCTGTCTCTCTGATTCTTTCAATGTGTACATTCTCAGAGAATGTGATTTGAGTATCTTATATAACTCAAACCACCTAGATTGAAACTTCTCAGAACTCTCATTATGTATGAGAACTCATGTTCTTATCTTGAGACTCAATTTCTTAACAAGTGAGTCTTGTATTCTTTTCAATTGAATTGCTCAGTTCAGGAGTAACTTATTAGCTTTTGCGCGTGTGTGGCTGATCTCTTTCAATCTTGGTTCCGCATCCGCGACTGTTGTGTCTGCAACTGCTGTTCCTGCTGCGTCCGCAACTGCTGTTCCTGCTGCGTCCGCAACTGCTGTTCCTGCTGTGTCTGCAACTGCTGTTCCTGCTGCGTCCGCAACTGCTCTCTCCCCCACCTTTTTCGAAGCATTCTCTGGGATGCGTGAATGCAATCCATATAACAGGTAGAATGATGAACACTTGGAGACTGCATGCTGTTGAATCTGTGTGGCCAACAGCGCCTGTCTGAGATATTCATCTCATAGTCTCATAGGCTTGCTCACTAGATATTTTGTCAGCATGTTGCTCAAGATTTCATTCAAGTGTTTCATCTTCCTGTTCATTCACAGATGATATAACATTGTTCTATAATGTCTTATCTGTAACTGACTCACAAAATGTCTCACTGCTTCTCTCACAAGGTTTGCACTGTTATCAGTTAGAATCTTACACAGCATTTCATAGTTGATATAGATCTCATTGTATAGAAACTTCACTATTATCTTCTCTATTATCTCTGAAACTGCTTTTATAACTGATCAGTCAGTAGTGTAATCAATAGCAGTGATTATTCATCAATTTTTATTTGATGTTTGCAGTAATATGTCTATGAGATTCATCTTTCATTATTTGAATAATTATATCATACACTTCATCTGATATTATGCTTCTTTGTATTCTAATTCTTTCTTAGATTCTTTCATGACCTGATAATTCAGGCACTTATGAGCATATATCTGAATGTTCTCAGTCATACTTGATCAGTATACTCTTGATTCAAGTATACTCATAAGTTCAGGACTTTCTAAGTGACTGAATTCCTTGTATATATAAGTCATCAAGTCATGTCTAAATAAAGATTCTAGATAGAGAGCTTCTGTATATTCTAGATTGTGATAAAGTACAATGTTGTTTTTCAATTTTCTCAGCTTGAAGTTCAGAAGCATCTCTTCTACTACTTTTACAAGACACTTGTTATCTGATATCTTGTCATTCTCTAAGTATGAGATTATGATATTCACTCATTCAGATTTTTTACATTCTCTCAGTGTGATTAATGCACACTTCTCTTATATCTGATTCACAGAACTCTTACTCATGAAATCAGATCTGTGACTGATTGCATCAGATATTACAGTATTCAATCTCTTTCTATATTTGATATGAAGATTGTATACTTGAAACTCTGAGATTCAACATGCTAAGTGTTTAAAAGGTTTTATTATTAATTATAGATAGATAAGACTTTTATGATCTGTGATCACTGTTATTATATATCTATTATTAATATATCTATTTCATAATATCAATGTATGCTTGATTGCTAGTAATTTCTTTTCATACACTGAGAAATTGAGCTCAGCACTCAATAGTTTTCTATCATTATATATTACTGAGTGCAGCTTGCTGTTCTTACTCATCTGTAGAAGAGTGTCTCTGATAGCTTATTTGAATATGTCTATCTTAATGTAGAAAGGTTTATCATGATCTGATTAAATAAACACTGAGAATATTATTACACATTTTCTCAGTGTGAGAAAAGCCTCTTCATATATAATATTTCAGATGATTGAATAAAACTTCTTCTTTTGCAGATTTGTATTTATTTCTCTTAAGAGATCTGAGAGTGATGCAGATATTCATACAAAATCCTTGATAAATCTGTGATAGTATGAGATTAACTCAAGAAACTGTTGTATATGATGTATATTTCTCAGTCATAATCAATTTACTATGATATTCAATTTCTCTGAGATGAGGTGTATATAATCATCACTCACTATATATTCTACAAACTTCAACTCTTCTATTTTAAACACATACTTAATTGATTTAATGTAGAGCTTATACTCTGTCAGAGTTATAAGCACTTCATTAAGATGCTTCAGATATTCATTATATGAGTTTGAAAAGACTAGAATGTTATCAAGATATATGAGATATGAGATTTCATTCTGTTTATAAAGAATTGTATTCATCATTATTTGAAAGATGATGAGTGCATTTATCAGACTGAATAACATTATCAGGAATTTAAACTTCTCTTATTATATATTAAATGTGATTCACAGAACTGACAGTTCATCTATACAGATCTGTCAGTATTCTGAGAGAAGATTGATCTTTAATAGATATTAAGTATTTCTGACTGTATTCAACTGTTATTGAATCTGTGATAGTGAATATTCATTCTTGATTGTAAGCTTATTGAGTACTTGATAATTGATACATATTCATCACTTCTCACTTATCTTTTTTATAAATAGAACTGAAAAGCCTCATATACTTGATGAGAGTTGTATGAGATCACATTCTAGAAGGTCAGTGATCTGATACTTCTGTTCTTTGAGATGTGTTTGGGACAGAGAGTATGTATTCTGATTGACTGATATTGCATCTCTCATGTCAATCTCATGTATGAATCCTCATTCTGACAGCAATTCTGATGAAAGATCTGTTCAGAAGACCTTCTCATACTTCTTCAGAAGCTTCTTCATATGCTTATTCTTCTATATATTCTTTATCTTGGTTTTCTCTGCTTCTGAGTTCTGTATGACATACAGAATACTTTTGAATGAGATCTTGCAAATTGTTCTCTTTGCTTGTTGATGTATAAGCAGATTTAATTCTTCTATATCAGAGATGTGAAATGTTCTTCTCATATCAGTTGATAGAATTGTATGAATCATTTTCTTTCTATTGATCAATTACATATGACATGTACATCATTGAATCTACAGATTGAACCTTTGAAATCAATCAAGTCTGAGAATAAGATCATATTTCACATTCTGCAGCTCTCATACTCAAATATAGCAAGATCATTCTCTGAAGTGTAAGAAAACTCTTACTTTTATAAGTGATATCAGATATCAGTTATCAGATAATCTTATATATCAGAAATTCTTCACTCAGTGAACTTCTTTCAATCTTCAGATTATATAATTATCAATATATTGTATAGAAGCTTCTGTATCTGCTAACACTTTTGCAGCTATCTCTCAATTCTTACTCAAGTATCTCTTATACATTAACATTTCAGGCCTCAAGACATTGAGATGAGTGTTCACTTCATCCTTGCCTGCACTTCAGTCAGAAGCCTGCTTTCTCTTAACATTTGCAGGATTCAGAGAGTCATCTAACACAGGCATCTCTTTCACTTTAAAGACTTTTCATAGAATATCAGTGAGTGTCTCTGAGCTCACTGATTCTGCTAGTTTTTTAACTGTATATGCTGAGTGTAATCTTTTACACTATGATTTTAATGTCTGCAGTTGAAGCAAGCTCAATACTCATGATATCAAGATTTTCACTCAGAGAATCTCTTTTTCAGAGAATTTAATATTTTAGTAATAGCATTCAGATCTAGATTCATCACATCTGAGTGTGTAACTTGTGTCATAGAAGTCTGATTATCTGTTCTTCACTGAGATATACTCAATTGCAGTATTTTCTATTACAATTGACTCACTTATTTCTGTATAATAAGAATATTGTATGCTTTCTTCACTGTGCCTGACTATGAGATTAAGCATTTTCATTTCACTCTTAACTCAGGTGTAAGATTATGAATGAAGATCTGTAAATAGAAAGATGTTGAAAGCTCTTCATTTAATATGAGATAGTATAAGCTGAAGTGTGTAAAGTATAATATAAGATTACTCACTTGTCTACACTCAGTGAAGTGTTTATAACACTTATCTTATATATTCACTTTCTCAAAGTTATGCAAGATTCATTTGAAAAACTTATTTCATGTTCATGAGAATGAGTATCACTCTGAGTCTGTGAGATTTATCTTTTCATCAGTCATTCATAATAACTTTGCTTTTTCATATAGAAATGTGATAGATTTTAAGACTTGTTGAAATTCTATTAACTGTCTGTCTGTGAGTTTATATTCAATCTGATAATATAATTGTATCTGACTTAGTCAGCTGATTGCAGCATCATTTTTTCAGTTACTATTAAAGCTTGATAACTTCAGCAGATCTTCTGACTTAATATATTTCATATTCAGATTCTTATTCTGTGCAGCAGTCTCTGATAATATGTATGCTTCTGAAGAGATTGTGAATAATTATGATGAAATCTTCAGATTTAATGTAGTTATCTATCTGTGTAAATATTTGATCTTCTGCTGCAGGCCTAAGATCTGATTTTCTCTATTCTTATTAATGATGATAATTATATCAGTGAAGCTCTTCATAGTGAATACTTGATCTGCAGTGAATATCAATTGTTATTTGACTTCTGTCTCAGCCTGTCACTGTGTATGCAAGGCCTCAATCTCATTTAGAATTCTCATATGTGTACAGAGCTTCAATTTCAGTTCAGCAGTTTCAGCTGCTTTTCTTACTACTTTAAGTAAATTCTCTGAGAGATTCTGCATACCTTCTGGTTCAGATAGCAGAGAAGGGTGTTGTTCATATCAGCTAGAGAAGGTATTCATTTCAGTGGTTTCTGATTGATTGTATGATGTCTATTGTTATATCACTTGTATCATTATATCGCTATATTGCTGTATTATTATATCACTATATCACTGTATTGTTATATCACTATATCGTTCTATTGCTATATTGTTATATAATTTCCATTATCATTGTACAATTCTGGTGGTGGCCATCTTCTCTCTTTTTATCCTTCTTTTGAGTAGGCAGCAGACTTCTTTGAATCTGGTTCACTGCTCTCATCTCCTTTCTCACATCTCATCTATTTGCATACGTGGCATTCGCCTGGGCATGGAGTTTTCCCTCAACAAGCAAAGCAGCATCAATCAGATGCTCTTTCACTCATCACTCTTTGTATACTATCTTTTGAGGCATTTCTAGAATCACACTGGCATGATAACTATGAATTGCTTTGTAGACAGAATTATCACACTCTGAAGAAGCCTGTGCTTCTCACCGGTTTTTAGACATACTATCAGATGTGATTCAAAGGTTGCTTAAGCCAGTGTACGATTACAGGTGTATGCTGGCTTCTTATATATTGAATCTCGTACGCTAAATTAATTAGCAGCTGCTATGGCCTCTTTACATTCATACGCATACGCTAGTAGTTCGGAAGCGGCCGCGTTATTATCCGACGGTCGTACGTTCTTCCGAACCACAATTAACTGATTTGAGTTGCACACTTGTTGTGTGAGGAGAATTGAATAATTTAGAATAAAATTGAATAGTTTTAATCAATTTCTCTGCAAAAAATTGA